ACTGAATATATACTAACATAAACGCAATATATACCACATGACAACTGCGTGAATTAAGGAATTCTAGTTGTGCACATATACTGAATATATACTAATATAAACTTAATATATACCATCTGACAGCTGCGTGAATTAAGGAATTCCAATTGCACGAATTATTTATTTATTTTTATTTTTCGAATTCTAGCTGCGCACATATACTGAATATATACTACTATAAACTTAATATACACCACCTGACAGCTGCGTGAATTAACAAATTTCAGTTGCGCGAATTAATTAATTTTTTTTTATTTCTCTCTCTTATAAATCAACGATAATTAAGGATGAAGCGTTTTATTTGTATGGTTATTTACATGAGGTATACTTCTAATAAAATCCTAGATTTTAGGTATAGATACAATTAAATTTGTCCAACTCGTAAAAATGCAATATCTGGAAAAATGGTTCATTTAAAAAAAAAAATATTTTCGCTTTTTACAAATCTAAAGAAAACATATATATTTTAGGTAGTTGATGGATATCTTGATAACTCCAATTAAAACATATATTAGGTAGTTGACGATCATCTTTATAACTCAAATTAAGAAAAAACGGAGTCATATATATTTATTATTATCTTTTGCTAAATTAGACAAATCAATTTCAACACATGTCATTTTCTCTCTTTTACGACTTTAATGATTGGCGTAAATTAAGGATATCAGTTACCATTTATTTAAGTAACTAATAAATAATGGTAATCTCAATAATGGTAGATATATAATTTTTTTCACTCAGTTATGACACATATCCAAAAAAAATGTGGTCAGTGGTAAATCTGCAATACTTTGCAATTCTTACGGGAAGAGTGAAAATTTCCCAATTTTAAAAATTGGACTAAGACTATTGGATTTGGCCTTAGTTCGCGTGAATAATAATATAAATTTTATCGTTTGTTGATATTCATGCAATTCAATTTCTAACGCGCAATTCAATCTCAATAGATTCAATATAGAGAAGAAGATAAAAATATTCGGTTCAGAAAGTTGGAGAGTGTTTAGTTCTCGATGTCTTAAGCTTGTGATATCAAGATCTTGGGATTTTCTATTCCATATCAAGCAATTTCAATCGAATAGGTAATGAGAAATTTTTAATTAGGTCAAACACATTCATATGTGTCGTAGGAGGCCTTATTGCTCAATATGTAGAACTAAAAAAATGAAGTACATTTACATAAATAAAGCAAACAAACTTTAGCGTAGAAATCAATGGTAATATAATCACTTTATTCATAAACCATTAGATTAAGCTTAAACTTGAGTGTATCTCTACGCAAATATCTTAATCATTTCATCTCATATTATTATTTAATTTTAACTAACTATATTTGAACACAACTTCAAATATAATCACATGCATATGTCAATGACTTTATCAACCTAGTATAGATAAAATGAAAGTTCTCTCCAATTATATTCGATTAATGAATCTCAATCTTGGCTCAACCATTAGTTATATATATATATATATATATATATATATATCTATATATATATCTATATATATATATATATATATATCATGATCAACCCAACACAAACTCAGATCTACCCATAAGGAGCGTAGGCATTGTACTAGTTGTAAATAATTTATTCTATACATAAATTGCTTATTGACCTAAAGTCAAAGCACTATTGCATCATTCCTCATGTCGATATTTCCATCGACATATCAACAAATGTTTTCTCGATAGGGTATACCAATACTATTTAAACTGTCCATGTGTGCATCAATAATAACCAATTTTCATAGTTGTGAGACATACTATATTATTCAAGGTTGTGATGCAGATTGCATGCCAATTTATCACTCATTCATCACCCTTTTTAGTGATTTGACTCAAACAATTTGATAGTTATACACTGTCAATTAACATCTTGCCCAATTAATGACAATATTAACTGTCAGAAACAACTAATCTATAAATTCCAAACAGTTAAATATTTAATCAAATAATTGTGATATAATGTGATCAAATACATATATCATCAAAAAATTGTTTGTAAGACATGTATACTAACAAGACATGTTAACATTTAAAGATACTCATAATCACATGCATCATGAACAATGTGAAATTTTGTTAAATATACTAAAAGAATAATGGATCAAGTATATAAAATTAACTCTCATATAAAATGCATAAATAAAAAATACTCATAAATCAATAATTGAATGCGGCCAGTCAAAATCGAAGGTTTAGATTGTCGATTTCTCTCTAATCTTTGGGTTCATATTTTGGTAATATTTAGGATCTAGTTTGACTCATCATATGTGCACAGTCCAGTTGGTACGCAAAAGACCTCCAATCGGCTTGGATTTGGCTTGTTTTGAGCTCCTCGCCAACTGAATGTCCCTGAGCCTACAACAACTCTAACACCGGAGGAATTTCTGGTGAAGAGTCTCTGATGTTTAAGGTAACACCTGTAGAAGATGAAGCGCAATAATTTAATGTATATAGATATTAATGTGATGTGGACATACCTCACTCCCTTATATAGGAAGATGATAATTGTTGCCCAAGAGTACCCGAGCGGACTGCCCGTGCTACCCGTTTGTAATTCCCAAATTGCCCGATCTACTAGAATTATTCAATTCTGTTAAGCCACGTGACCCTATCCACGTGTGACTCTCATCCTAATAATATTATTTTTTATCCATTAGTATTTTTTATTAGACTGCCTAATCATGCGACCCGATCGAATCCTGCTGAGTAGATTGTTGCTCCTATCAAGCTTAAGTGGTCCTTCTGGTCAAACAGGCCTTTCGAGGGCCTTAGCTCGATCGGTCGCTGTCCCTTTGAACCCCTCACGTCCTTTTTGACCTAAAGATTCCTCAATGCCCTCATCATTGCTCGACCTTCTTGCTGCTCTGCTTTGACCAATCAGTTCACTCGGCCTGGTCAGCCGATTTATTGAGTTTGCTCTATAGGGCGTGGTATACCATATCACATTTGACTCAGTTCAGCCTCCGAATCTAGGCCCAAGTCCCGTATTTTACACAAAGCATATCTATCCATCAAAATTGTACTAATGGGCCCAAGCCCATTCCGCGTTCTGTTCCCAACCCATCTTCAGTCGGCCGCCTGCAAAATCTTCTCCGCTGGAAAAGTAGAAGAGTTGCGATTTTCTTTCTACTGCACAGCACTGTCTCGATTCATCTGGTAAATTCAAGCATCTTCAAGAAAGCTCCACTAAATTTCCCCAAAATTAAGGTATATAAATCATCACAATCTCCATTAATTGCGCCCCAACAGGTACTTCTCTAAGCTTCACTTCATATCACGATTGTTGAACTTCTCCAGTTTTTTGTTCGCTGGGAAAAAAAATGGCGAGGGAAGGTCCTAACTGGGAAGGCCTGCTGAAGTGGAGCCTCGCGCACTCAGATGGCACCAATTCTTCTCGTAATTTGAGGTGGGGTCTTATTTGCAGTCGAATTTGTTACTAAGCTGATTGACAATATGGGTTTTTAGTATATGGGTTATTGATTGGTTATTTAGAGGTTGTGATGATGTTGATTGAAGCTATGTGTTGTTACGTTTTTCAGTGAGGAGGATAGAAGATGGTTTATGGAGGCAATGCAAGCGCAGACGGTTGATGTTGTTAAGCGTACGAAAGAGATAACGCTTGTTATGAAGGCCCCAGATGAGATTTTGGAGTCTCAAGGAGTAACTCCTCAAGATATTGAAGGTATTTATTTGTAGTTTTATACACAGGGCCGTATTATCTGCCGTCGTCATGAAGATCGGACTATTAGTTAGTTTTTTTGTGATTGCAGATATGTTGGATGAGCTACAAGAGCATGTGGAATCTATTGATATGGCCAATGGTTAGTTTCTTCTTTAGTTGTCTCAGATTTTTTGTAAATGATTTTGGCACACAGTCATGGAAGCTATTGAGTAGATATGGTGGATGCTTTATTTCATGATGTGCAATGTATTTCTACAACATTGGATATTCCTGTTCGTCGTATGGTTTTCTTTTAGTGGATATGTTTTTCATGGCTTTTATTCCTTTCCTTGTTTGTTTTGTTTGGAGATAACTGTTAGCATATCCTTTTAATATTTGATTCGTAGCTGTTTCACTAAGAATTGTGTCTTTAATCATCTCCTATATCTTGCAAGGTCGCCCGTCTTTAATTTTATTGAATTTTGTTGCAGACAAAGGGTGCCTTTTTTTTTTATTTCCCTTTCCATTTTTCTATGTCTCAGCTAATATTTGAGCTTTGAGTCTTAGCTTGGGACTCTAGCTATTTCCCAGTTGGCCAGTTTCGACCATTTATTTCTCCTAGAACAGTTATTGTGGTGTGTGTTCGTTATTTATCATCTTTGCATGTCAAACCGTCAAAGTCTATTCCGCCGTGCATGCTTTTATCTTAAGTGGGCAATGGCCATGTTCCAAAGCTCGAATCTTTTGTATGTGTTCTTTCTTTATTTATTTTTTTTTGTCTGAGTGACCATTTAATCTTTTAGTCGATTATGTTGTTATGATTTTATCTCCAGATCTTCACTCTATTGGTGGCTTGGTTCCTCTCCTTGACTACCTGAAGAACTCACACGCTAACATAAGGGCGAAAGCTGCGGAAGTTGTTAGCACAATCGTACAAAACAACCCGAGAAGTCAACAGCTGGTTATGGAAGCTAATGGGCTTGAGCCTCTTTTGTTGAATTTTACTTCAGATCCCGATGTCACAGTCCGTACCAAAGCACTCGGTGCAATTTCATGTAAGTCACTCTATATATAAAGCAAGAAAGATCAGACCTTTATTTGGTCAGTGCAAGAAAGAATGTTATTCTGATATACTTGTGTATATGTTCCTTTTGTTGATGTATTTTCAGCTCTAATCAGACATAACAAGCCTGGAATTACTGCATTCCGCCTGGGCAATGGCTATGCCGCTCTAAAAGATGCGCTAAATTCTGAGAATTCGAGATTTCAAAGGTGAACTATCCGATATGCTTTGTTTTCCGCTAAGAAACCTCTTTTTCTTTGTGCTTCTGAGAAAATAGACTTGTTTACTGACTACTGTTTTCATTGTCTTCTTTGTGCATGTTACTTTAAAGAAGGAAAAGCTAGAATAGTACTTCTTCCCATTTCCTATTAAACAAAATCAAACTATAAAAAATGTAATACGTATCAACAACAATGAGAGATGGTTTTCGTTTGAGAGTAGGATTTGGTAAGACTTTTTAAGATTTTGTGGGATTTTTAAAGAAAAACGTTATACGAAATCTCACTTCAAATCCCACCTTCAGACTTACGATTTCATAGAATTCCTCCAAAATCTAAAAGTATTAATAAGTCGCAAAATGTCACTTGAAATCCCAATTGAAAAATCCAACAGTCTTTCTACAGCCACTGTCAGGCCAGCTACTTTTGTTTGTCTTATTCACTCAATATGTGTTGTATCATCTGCAGGAAAGCACTAAACTTGATCAACTATCTACTCGGAGCTAATCCCTCAGACTGTGGAGCCGTTACCGAACTTGGGTTTCCTCGTATTTTAATGCACCTCTCGTCCAGTGAAGATGCTGATGTGCGCGAAGCTGCACTGAAGGGCCTACTTGAGGTGGCCCAAAATCGGCCAGCAGCAAATCCCGATAGTGGGCCCACAGAAGAAGATGAGAAACTCAAACAAATTCTACAGGAGAGGATTAAAGGGATTAGTCAAATGTCAGCTGAGGACTTGAGGGCCACACGAGAAGAAGGGCAGCTTGTGGACTCTCTTTGGAGCATTTGTAATGACGGGCCTTGTCCACTGCGTGAAAACGGGCTTCTTGCTCTGAATGGGGATGATGGGCCGCCTCCAGATGTCGCCAGCCTGCATTTCGAGCCGCCACTCAGAGCTTGGGCCGCCAATGGTGGTGGGGATAAGAAGCCCAGTGGTGAAAAGGACGCGCAGTTGCTTATAGGCCCGGGCCCGCCCGAGGGAGGTTCTTCCTAGTGAAGTGCTGTTGTGATGACTATAGATGATATAGGTCATATCTCTCTCTCTTTTTTTGTTTTTTTT